ATGCCTGCGTCTGTCCTGAAAAAACAGATCAACTGTCTGGCCGGGGGGGGCTTCGGAAACCGACTATGTTACCTGGAGACCACATCCAACGCTCAGGTACGAAAACCCCCCCCAAAAAATACCTCTCACATCCCCTCACAAAAACAATCCGTCACCACCCTCAAAAAAAAATAACCATCTGACACCTCCCACAAAAAAACCATTTAAATCCTCAAAAAAAAAAATACATCTAAATGCCTCACCACAAAAAACCATCCACTCCCTCCCAAAAAAAAACCATCCCATGTTTCCCCAAAAAAAAAACCCCATCTCACATCCCTCACAAAAAAAAAAAACGTCATTCCCCACATAAAAATCCCCATCTTCAATCTCACGCAAAAAAAAAACCCTCACATCCTCCCCCCAAATAATACCATCTCAAATGCCTTGCGCAAAATAAATACTATATCACATGCCTCACAAAAAAATACAATCTCATATGCCTCACGCAAAAAATACCATCTCCATCCCCTCCCCAAAAAAAAAAATACCATATCACATGCTTCACAGAAAAATACAATCTCATATGCCTCACGCAAAAAAATACCATCTCACATATCCTTACACAAAATAAATACCATCTAATATGCCTTACGCAAAATAAATACCATCTCACATGCCTCACAAAAAAGAAAACATCCCCTCCCTACAAAATAATCCCTTTTACATCCTCCGCACAATAAATACCTTTTTAGTCCTTATGCTAAATAAATACATCTCACATGCCTCATGCAAAAAAAATCCCATCTCACATCTTATGCAAAAAAAACCATTTCACGCTTCAGGGCAAAAAAATACCATCTCACATGCTTCATGCAAAAAAATACCATCTCAAATGCCTCACAAAAAAGAAAACATGTACATGCCTCACATAAAAAATACAATCTCTCACATCTCACGCAAAAAATACCATCTCATATGCCTCACACAAAAAAAATACCATCTCACATGCCCCACGCAAAAAAATACCATATCACATACCTCACGCACAATAAATACAATCTCACATGCCTTATGCAAAATAAATACCATCTCACATGCCTCACAAAAGTAATACCATCTCACATGCTTCACTCAAAAAAAATACCATATCATGCCTCACGCAAAAAGAATACCATCTGACATACCTCACGCACAATAAATACCATTTCACATGCCTTATGCTAAATAAATACATCTCACATGCCTCACGCAAAAAAATACCATCTCAAATGCCTCACGCAAAATAAAATACCATCTGACATGCCTCATGCTAAAAAATACCATCTCACATGCCTCACGCACAATTAATACCATCTCACATGCCTCACAAAAAAGAATAGCATCTCACATGCTTCACGCAAATAAAATACCATCTCATGCCTCACGCAAAAAAATACAATTTCAGATGCCTCATGCTAAAATAAATACCATCGCACATGCCTCATGCAAAAAAAATACCATCTCACATGCCCCACTCAAATAAATACCTCTCATGCTCCGCACAAAAAAACCATTCAAAGCTTCAAAAAAACAAATCCATCTCACAGCTTCAGCAAAAAAATAATCTCACACCCTACAAAAAAAATTTATCCCATCTCACATGCCCATGCAAAAAATACCATCATATGCCTCACAAAAAGAAAAAAAATATCATAAAAAAAAAAAGAACATAAAGAGACTGTGAAGTAAAAATCGAAGGTATTTTCAATCGTTGTATTTCCAAAATCTCAACCACTTACTTAGGAGTCGAAAAAAGATACCAACATTTTTTTATAGGGACATTGAAAAAAAATGATGAAGTTTTAAATTTTAAAAAAAGTTAGTTAAAAGGGGTTTTAAACTTTTTACCTTGGCCCCCCCCAGAACTGTCCCCCAGATTTGGGCCCTTGCGCCTTCATCCTGGAACAGTCCCTGTCAGTCCGTGCACTGCAGGAGATGCGGCTACACGTGGACATGAGTGAGGTGGGGGTCCAACACAGAGGGAGAGAGGGTTGGTATCAGATAGAAGCCCCAGATGGAGGGAGGGAGGGAGGGGGGGAGGGATGGAGGGAGGGAGGGGAGAGGGGAGGGGAGGGAGGAGGGAGGGGGGTTGGTATCCAGATAGAATCCCACATGGAGGGAGGGAGGGGGGGGGGGAGGGAGAGAGGGATGGAGGGAGGGAGGGAGGGAGGGAGGAGGGAGGGAGGGTTGGTATCCAGATAGAAGTCCCACATGGAGGGAGGGAGGGAGGGAGGGGGGGAGGGAGGGAAAGGGAGGGGGGGGGGGGGGAGAGAGGGAGGGAGGGAGGGAGGGAGGGAGGGAGGGTTGGATCCAGATAGAAGTCCACGGAGGGAGGGAGGGAGGGGGGGGAGGGAGGGAGAGGGGATGGAGGGAGGGAGGGAGGGAGGGTTGGTATCCAGATAGAAGTCCACATGGAGGGAGGGAGGAGGGAGGGAGGGGAGGGGGGAGGGAGGGAGGGGGGAGGGAGAGGGGGAGAGGGGGGATGGAGGGGGAGGGAGGATGGGGAGGGAGGGTTTTGGTATTCCCAGATAGAAGTACATGGGGGGAGGGAGGGAGGGGAGGAGGAAGGGAGGGATGGACGGGAGGGAGGGAGGGGGGATGGAGGACACTGGGAGCTTAGATGCGAGGACGTGATAAAGTCTGTGTTTTCGGTTTTTGTTTCTTAATAATGCCTTATTTCTATGTTTTTTTAGCTACCCACCTGTTTCCCTCCATAATGCCCCACCCCTCCCAAAACCGACATACGGGCCCCCCCAACAGAACAGTACAGCTCCACCCACAGCAACAGTACAGCCTCACCCACAGAAACAGTACGCCTCCACCCACAGAAAAAGTATTTGCCTCCACCCCAGAAAAAGACTGCCTCCACCCACAGAACAGTACTCCCTCCACCCACAGAAACGTACTGCCTCCACCACAGAACAGATGCCCCACGATACTCCCCACCCAAAAGAACAGTACAGCTTCACCACAGAACAGAAATGCCTCACCCACAGAACAGTACTGCCTCCACCCACAGAACGGTACTGCCTCCACACACAGAACAGTACAGCCTCCACACACAGAACAGTACAGCCTCCACCCACAGAACAGTACTGCCTCCACCCACAGAACAGTACTGCCTCCACCCACAGAACAGTACTGCCTCCAAACCCACAGAACAGTACAGCCTCCACCCACAGAACAGTACTGCCTCCACCCACAGAACAGTACTGCCTCCACCCACAAAAACAGTACTCCCTTTCCAAACCCATAGAAAAATAAAAAGCCTCCCCCACAGAACAGTATGCCCCCAACACAGAAACGGAAACTGCACACCCAACACAAAAACGGTTACATCCTCCACCCACAGAACGGTACAGCCACCTCAAGAAAATAATCGTCTCTGATGCTGAGAACGACAATGCTATGTACTTTGATATTTTCCACCATCAACACATAGTTCACACAATCACACATCATGACACCGCTTTCCTTTCCGCTGTCTTTCAGAAGGTCAAACTGAATGGTTTATTGAACGCTTGTACATGTATACTGTAGATACTAGACACTGAAGTATCGTACACTCAGAAAAAAAGGGTCCCCAAAAGGGGGGCTTCGGGTTGTCCCCAGGGGAACCTTAAGGTTTAGATATCCTTCCCTTTTTTTTAAAAGGGTTGGTTATGCCATCCCCCACACCAGAAACAGCCCAACCCCAAACCAACCGGAAAAGGCTTAAAACCAGAAAGATTAAAAAATTGTTAATAATGTTTGTTATGTCTTTTTCCACCCCCAAACCCCCCCCCCCCCCCCCCCCCCCCCCCCCCCCCCCCCCCCACCCCCCCCCTCCCTTCCCCCCAGGCCCAACAGCATGGGCAAATGGTTAGTCTTGCCCCACGTCATTGGTCATGAACAAAAACACACACCCCCCCCCCCCCCCCCCCCAAAAAAAAAAAAAAAAACCCCCCCCCCCCCAAAACCCCCCCCCCAAAAAAAACCCCCCCCCCCCAAAAACCAAAAAAAAAAAACCCCAAACCCCCCAAAAAAAAAAAAAAAAACCCCAAAAAAAAAAAAAAAAAAAAAAAAAAAAAAAAAAAAAAAAAAAAAAAAAAAAAAAAAAAAAAAAAAAAAAAAAAAAAAAAAAACCCCCCCCCCCCCCAACAACAGAGACAAAGATTTTAAAAAAAAAAATTTCAACAACAGTTACGTTACATGACAATAAACACAAAAACCCCACCTCCCCCCCCCCAACCCCCACCCCCCCCCCCCACCCCCCCCCCCCCCCCCTCCCCCTACCCACCCACCTCCTCCCCCCCCCCTCACCTCCTCTCCCACCCTTAGAGCATATTCTCAGCCCACAGGATGTCCTAGTGAACAAATGAAATAGTGCTGTACCACTGTCACGCCCTGACTCATGGGACTCTAGTATGTTGAGTCAGGGTGTGGATATTCTATCTTGTATTTTCTATGTTTGCATTCTATGTTGTGTGTTTCTATGTTTTGGCCGGGTGTGATTCCCAATCAGAGGCAGCTGTCGCTCGTTGTCTCTGATTGGGGATCATACTTAGGCAGCCTGTTGGCAATCACTAGTTGTGGGATCTTTGTTCCGTGTGTAGGCTTGTTTTGTGTTTAGCCTGAGGACTTCACGTTTCGTTGGTTTGTTGTTTTGTTCGTGTGTTTATCGGTGAAATAAACCATGTATGCATTTCACGCTGCGCCTTGGTCTGACCCGCCCTTCAACGGGGAGCGAGACAGAAGATCCCACCAAACACGGACCAAGCAGCGTGCCCAGGAGCAGCAGACACCCTGGACACAGGTAGTGGAGCAGAGATCATGGACTTGGGGGGAGATAAGAGAGGATCTGGCCAAGCAGATGGAGGCCCTGAAAGGGATGAGGGTGGAGAAGGAGAGAGTAGCCAGTAGAGGACCCTGGGTGAAGGAGGAAGCCCAGGCAGGAGAGGAGAAACGGCGACCCAAGAGGACGCGGTCACGACGAAAGCCTGAGAAGCAGCCCCAATAATTTTTTTTGGGGGGGGCACACGGGGTGGTTGGCGGAGCCTGGGTTCAGAGCAGAGCCAACTCCCTGTACTCACGCTAGGAAGCGTGTGACCGTGCAGGCTCCGTGTTATGCGGAGCTACGCACTGTGTCGCCAGTGCGCCGGCACAGTCCAGAGCGTCCTGTGCTAGCACCACGCACTTGCCGTGCAAAAGTGGGCATCCAGCCAGGACGGGTTGTGCCAGCTCTCCGCTCCAGACCTCCAGTCCGCCTCCACAGTCCGGTACGGCCTGTGCCTGCTCCACGCACCAGACCAGTGGTGTGTGTTCCCAGTCCGGCCCGGCCCGTTCCTGTTCCTCGCACCAGGCCAGTGGTGAGTGTTCCTAGTCCGGTCCGGCCCGTGCCTGCTCCCCGCACCAATCCAGTGGTGCGTGTCGCCAGTCCAGCCCGTTCCTGCTCCTCGCACCAAGCCAGTGGTGCGTGTTCCCAGTCCGGTCCGGCCCGTGCCTGCTCCCCGCACCAAGCCAGTGGTGCGTGTCGCCAGTCCGGCCCGGCCCGTTCCTGCTCCTCGCACCAGACCAATGGTGCGTGTGTCCAGTCCGGCACGGCCCGTGCCTGTTCCACCGGTGCCTGGTCCGGCACCAGTCAGCTGCTCCACTCCGGAGCCAGAGCAGTCCACTCCACCGGTGCCCAGTCCAGCTCCGGTCAGCAGCTCCACTCCGGAGCCAGAGCAGTCCGCTCCACCGGTGCCCAGTCCAACTCCGGTCAGCGGCTCCAGTCCGGAGCCAGAGCAGTCCGCTCCACCGGTGCCCAGTCCAGCTCCGGTCAGCGGCTCCAGTCCGGAGCCTGAGTAGTCCGCTCCACCGGTGCCCGGTCCAGCTCCGGTCAGCGGCTCCAGTCCAGACCCAGATGTCAGCCCCTCTCCAGGTTCGGGGTCTCCCACACCAGGGTCCAGACAGGGCTTGGAGTATCGTGGGAGGAAGGAGAGGGGAAGCAGCGCGCCGAGGTCCAGACCAGACCAGGGGCGCAACAGGGAGGCGGAGAGTGAGAGGTCGTCACGCCCGGAGCCGGATCCGCCTCCGAGGCGGAATGCCCACCCGGCCCCTACCCTGTTATGTAAAGTTTGTGCGGTCGGAGTCTGCACCTTTTGGGGGGGGGGGGGTACTGTCACGCCCTGACTCATGGGACTCTTGTATGTTGAGTCAGGGTGTGGATATTCTATCTTGTATTTTCTATGTTTGCATTCTATGTTGTGTATTTCTATGTTTGGCCGGGTGTGATTCCCAATCAGAGGCAGCTGTTGCTCGTTGTCTCTGAATGGGGACCATACTTAGGCAGCCTGTTGGCAATCACTAGTTGTGGGATCTTGTTCCGTGTGTAGGCTTGTTTTGTGTTTAGCCTGAGGACTTCACGTTTCGTTGGTTTGTTGTTTTGTTTGTGTGTTTATCGGTGAAATAAACCATGTATGCATTTCACGCTGCGCCTTGGTCTGACCCGTCCTTCAACGACCGTGACAACCATTCACATCCCAGTCCTTTCTCCAGCCCTACCCCAACCCTTCCCTTACCCCTCTGAAACAGTGTGTTGTCAGTACACCTGTCTCCCCCTGTCTAGTATTGTCATGAGTCATGACTGAAATCTCCAGCTGGTTCTCTCTGTTTCGAGGCATGGTGAGGAAAGCCCCCTGGCCATAAGGCATGGTGAGGAAAGCCCCCTGGCCAGGAAAGCCCCCTGGCCATAAGGCATGGTGAGGAAAGCCCCCTGGCCAGGAAAGCCCCCTGGCCATAAGGTATGGTGAGGAAAGCCCCCTGGCCATAAGGCATGGTGAGGAAAGCCCCCTGGCCAGGAAAGCCCCCTGGCCATAAGGCATGGTGAGGAAAGCCCCCTGGCCATAAGGACAGTCTTCCATTCCTCTGTTCCATTTCATGAAGCACTATTATCACTTCCTTCCACTCCTATCATAGAGAAAGTCGTGGACACACACACATTAGAGACCCCTTTAATGAAGTGTACATTAGAGATCTTAGAGACCTCTGTGGCAGTTAGTTAGCTAGAGCTGGGCTTTACCTCTACACTAGGGCTGCAGAGACTCCTGTGGCTTTGGGCCTTTCCAGACAGAACCGTGTTAGTTAGTTAGCTAGTTGTAGCTGATGCCTTTCCAGACAGAACCGTGTTAGTTAGTTAGCTAGTTGTAGCTGATGCCTTTCCAGACAGAACCGTGTTAGTTAGTTAGCTAGTTGTAGCTGATGCCTTTCCAGACAGAACCGTGTTAGTTAGTTAGCTAGTTGTAGCTGATGCCTTTCCAGACAGAACCGTGTTAGTTAGTTAGCTAGTTGTAGCTGAAGCCTGGCCTTTCCAGACAGAACCGTGTTAGTTAGTTAGCTAGTTGTAGCTGAAGCCTTTCCAGACAGAACCGTGTTAGTTAGTTAGCTAGTTGTAGCTGATGCCTTTCCAGACAGAACCGTGTTAGTTAGTTAGTTAGCTAGTTGTAGCTGATGCCTTTCCAGACAGAACCGTGTTAGTTAGTTAGCTAGTTGTAGCTGAAGCCTGGCCTTTCCAGACAGAACCGTATTAGTTAGTTAGCTAGTTGTAGCTGATGCCTTTCCAGACAGAACCGTGTTAGTTAGTTAGCTAGTTGTAGCTGATGCCTTTCCAGACA